GGGGGGGGAGGAAGGCCGAGCCCTCGCACTCCGGGGGGAAGGCGGGGGGCGCGTCCGTGTCCGTGGGGGAGAACCTGGCGAGGCGGGAGGGGCTGCTCTGGGGAGGGGGGTTGGCCCGCGCCTGGGCGCAGTGTCTGGGTAAGGTGGCGTAGGGGGGGAGGCTGCTGCTGCACGACCCCCCCGCGACCTGCCGCCGGCCGTCCGGATAGCCGGGGGGGTGATGAGACCCTTCCGTGCTGCTGATCCCCGAGGGTCTGGGAAAGGTGAAAACGCCCGAATAACCCGAGGGAAAAGCGGCGATTTTAGCGCTCAGGGCCAGCTCCGGGGTGTGGATGGTGTAGGCAGGAGGGGGGGGCTGGGGGTACGCGGGGTTCAGCATCACTTCCTCGCCCTTGGGGGTGTTGCCCTCCGGCTCCAGCTTCTTGGGGGGGGCGGCGGCGCTCCCCAACGCCTTCTTCTCCGCCTCCTTTTGTTTCTGCTCGGCCAGGAAGCGCTCCTCGGCGTCCAGGAGGTACCTCTGGATCATCTCCTCCTGGTACTGGTGCCGGTGGCTGGTTTTGAGGTGCCCGGCGAAGATGAACTTGCGCTCCCCCTGCATGGCCGCCCGCAGGATGCTCAGGCTCAGCCGGACGTCGTTGCTGTATTTGTAGGGATCCGACGGCTTTTCGGGGGCTGCTTTACCTGGGAAGGTTTTCTCCGCAGGAGCTGACAAATCTCCTTGGGAAGATTCTTCTTTGCTGCCTTTCCTGGACTTCAAGGATCCTTTTTTCTTCTTCTCCAAGGTATCTCCCTGCCCGTTGCTCACGCCTCCCTTGGTGGTTTTGCCGTGCATCAAACCACCCATGTTCTTTTTTAGTTTGCTTCCCAAAGTCTTGCCGAAGCTGCCCAGCTTATTGGCAACCGAGTCTGCCCGTTTTTTATCTTTTTCCTTCTCCTTGTCTCGCTCTTTCTTTGGTTTCTCTTTGTCCTTGCAACCCCTGCTGCCGCCGTTGCTCGCTGAACTGCTGCAGACCGACTCCTTGTCCGACTCTCCCGACTCCGCGGCTGAACGAGCGTCGTCGCCCGCAGAGGCCGTAGGAGATTCTGGCTGGGCCAAAGGCGCCTGGGGAGAAAGAAAACAGATATCGGAGTCCTGGAAGGTCCTCGGCTGAATTTTCCAGGCTGAAGGTGCAAACCGAGAAGCAGGCGATTGCTTGGAGAAGGAGACGCCCCCGGCAGCGCATCAGGAACGTCTGAACCGGGTTGAGGCTTCGGGGGAAAAGGTGGAGAAAAGAGGGAGGGGGTGCTGCTAGCGAGGAGGAGGCCAATAAATTCCCCCTCTGGTCACCCCAAAGGCACCGGGCTGGGCTGGCAGCTGCTTCCCCGGGGTCACGGCAGGTCGGTAAGGCCGAGCTGAGGGGGGGGATTCAGGGGATTCAGGAGCAAAGCAGCTGCAGCCGGTCGAGGAGCTCACACCCAAAGTGCCACCGTAGCAGAGCTCAAACGGTGACAACACCTCCGCAGCTTCATATTTAAGTTTGGGGAGTTTTCTCCTAAAAAGGGGGAAAGAAAAAAAACAACCCACACCCAAAAACACCCCACGACACCCTTCATGCTGTCAAGGCAGCTACCACCACCTGCCCACGCACCACCACGGAGATTTGGGAAGCAGACGGGAGTTTTCCTGCCAAGGAAAGGTCCCGGGAAAAGCTACGGTCAAACCGTGGGTCTCGAGGCAGCTTCTGGCGGCCACAAACCAACAGCTCCCGTTTGTCTTGGAGCAAACAGCGTCTCCTCGCTGCCGGCCACCCACGCCAGAGGCTGCCCCGCTTCCACTTTGAGTAAAAACAGGCACAAAAAGCTAAAAAAAAAAAAAAAAAACCACCCCAAAACAACAAACCAAAAAACCCCAGCACCCGCACAAAACCCGAGCGGAGCAAAACCAGCTCGGTTTTCCGCTCGGAGCAAAACCAGCGGCGGTTTCTGCGGGTGCAGGCGAGGCTCGCGCGCAGGAGAGCGAGGCGGCTGACGGCGTCACGTCTGCTGCCCTGCCAGCGGGAGGTTTAAATAATGCAAGAGCAAAAAAAAATACTCCTCGTCTCTCTACCTGCATGTCACAAGGCAGCGTGATCCATTTCACATTCATGTAGCTGTGCAGGAGGTGCAGCTTTGCTTCCAGCGATAACGTCACACTAAAATTTAAAACAGGATAAAAAAAAAAAAAAGACAAGTTAAGAGTTAAGTCTGCTCTAATAACTGAGCTCCTCCCCTCCATGTTCACAGCTATTTGCCCCTTTATGTTAAAAAATATGGTTTTACACAGCAGGTGTAAGGGAATTGAGACAGCAGTGATACAAAAGGTGACATTTTTGTAGTTTTCCAAAGCTTTCAATTAAAATCAACATGAATAAATAAGATTCCAGAGTGATCGGGGGAAAAAAAAAAAAATCGATAAGATTCCAGAGTGACCACAAATCAATAAATAAGATTCCAGAGTGATAAAAAAAAAAATAATCATTAAATAAGATTCCAGAGTGATTAAAAAAAAAAATCATTAAATAAGATTCCAGACTGATCGAAAAAAATCAATAAGATTCCAGAGTGATCACAAATCAATAAATAAGATTCCAGAGTGATCAAAAAAACCCCACCAATACGATTCCAGAATGATTAAAAAAATATATATATAATTAAATAAGATTCCAGAGTAATAAAAAAATAATTAAATAAGATTCCAGAGTAATAAAAAAATAATTAAATAAGATTCCAGAGTGATTAAAAAGAAAAATCATTAAATAAGATTCCAGAGTGATCCAAAAATAATTAAATAAGATTCCAGAGTGATAAAAAAAAAAATCATTAAATAAGATTCTGGAGTGATCGAAAATCATTAAATAAGATTCCAGAGTGATTTAAAAAAAAAAAAGATTCCAGAGTGATCCAAAATCACTAAATAAGGTTCCAGAGTGCTCAAAAATCAAGCCGGCTGTGAATTAAAACAAACTCGACAAAAATAATCTGACTTGTACGGGAGACAAATGACCCAAAAAAAAAAAAAAAAAAAAAAAAAAAAAAAA